TGTGACTTCAAGGCTATTCCTTTTACAGCAAAGATCAAGTTAATCTCCTCTGGGACTCTGGTTCTCATGATTACCGACGTCCCCAGATCACTTTCACTCTCTCTCTCTCTCTCTCTCTCACACACACACACACACACACACACACACACACACACACACACACACACACACACAGACCGGTTCTGTCTAAAGTTAACTGACACTGAACTATTTTCAACTTCCCAAGGAAAGCCCGATGGATTGCACGGATACCACAAAGCGACTTATACATCAAAGGGATCGATCACCGCAGTAAGATTAAAAAAAAACCTTCTTATATTTTTAATAAAGATAACTGCTCTGCACCCTCCCTCTCTCTGGCTTTCTCACACAAACTAATCTATAACATATCCCTCTGATCGCGCACGTGCCGGCGCGTCAGTACGCATGGATGCACAGGAACTGTCACAAACGAAAACAAAAACATGCTGCTAGATAACAACGCTCAAACTTTTTTTTTCTTCTTTTCCTGGGAATTCAACTTACTTGCCAAATTTTGTTTTCTTGAAGTCCATCTCGTGCGTAGGCTATGCGGGCCAGCGCGTCTGCGCGCCTGCGTTCTCTTGTTTTTTTATCGCAAACAGTAAAACCAGCCAGCGCAGTCTTCTCCTACGGATTCCCCATTCCGGATGTCCCACCACCGCGCGTCCAGAGATAAAAACATAAGTCCAGGAGAGCCTGCGACTCGCAGAGCGGGTCACCAGGACAACCGGCCCGCGCTTGCTCCGGGGTTTAAACGACTGGGCACGAAAGCGACGATCGGCGTAGCAAGAGGAGTTGGCGGTGAGGGGACCTTACCGAGCTTCGTTCCGACTCTCTCAGATGTGGTCGCAGGATGTTCCGCGGGACTGGGCTCGTAACCCCTCCCCTGCCCTCTTCTCCCCTCCCCTTTCGCTCTCCTGGCTGCTGCTAACTTCACCAGCGAAAGGCAAACCCCTCACCACAAAGCACCGACACCCTCTGCTGTGACTTGCAAGTGTGACATGTGAACAGGTCGCTTCTGAAACACAAACCCGGACTGAAACAAGACAGGAAGGGAGGCACAAAGGTGATAACAAAACCTGACCAAATGAGTCAACTGAACTCAAGAGACTGGAGCGAGCGCTGTTGTAACGAAAATGATACCAAACACATCCTGGACAGACATTTACCTCTGTTACCTAGTTTGTTTGTTTTTTATCTCCTTTACTGTTTCCATTGTACGCTGCTCTAATTTCTTTCCACTGTGCTTTAAAGTAGCTGTTTGGGGGTTTGCGTGACTTCTTAATAACTTCATATACTTCAAGATATTCATATAATAAAACTAACCAGCTGAGATAACACAGCTTGTAGTGTTAAAGTATTCAATGGGATTCTCTCAACATTCTTCTCGGGAAAGTAGTTTTACATCACTCTGTTGTGCTATTGTGTTGTTCCAGGGAATCCCCTTCCTCTGACATTTCATTTAAATAAAGTCCAGGAACAGGGAAGGACAGATATGCAGAAATTTGGCAAAAGACTGGAAAAACAAAATAGTAAGAAAGAAAGAATCTAAATTTCTGTATTGGCTATTCGCTTATGTTCCAAATAAGAAGTGACCTCAAGGTTTGGAGCCATTGGAATTATTTTATTTATTAGATTTTTGATATTTACACCACTGGCCACTTTATAAGCTAATGTTATAGCCGTTTGAATTCTTTGTGCAATAGTTTCCAAACTAAAGAGGATTTGTTGTCGTGTTCAAGTTTAAGATGATTAAGGTGTCTTATCTACTGTGGTCATAAAGAGATGAACTTGGTCAGCAACAAAACTCATTCAGGCTGATGAGCCAACATTGCTCACTTGGTACCAAGGGCCTCAAAGTGTGACAAGAAAATATCCCCCACACTATTACACCTCTAACAGCTGCCTGAACTGCTGATACAAGCCAGAATGGATCCACGCTTCCATGTTGTTTATGCGATTTTATGATCTCGAAGCAGAAATTGAGACTCATCAGACCATTCTTCTGTTATTCTATTTTGGCTAGCTTGTGTAAAATAGCCTCAGTTTCCTGTTCTTAGCTGACATGACTGGCACCCGATGTGGTCTTCTGCTGCTGCTGTAGCCCATCTGCTTCAATGCTTAGCATGTTGTGCATTCAGAGATGCTCTTCTGCATACTTCGATTGTAACAAGTGGTTATTTGACTTACTGTTGCCTTCCTAACAGTGAAAAGCCATTTGGTCATTGTCCTCTGACTTCTAGCATCAACAAGGCATTTTTTTTCTTTTTTTACCAGCCCATCTGGCACCAACAACCATTTAAATCACCTTTCTTCCCCATGCCGATGCTCCATTTCAGTAAATCATCTTGACCATGTTTACATGAATACGGGCAGTAAGTTGCAAACCATTTGATTGGCTTATAAAATTATTAGATTACTAGGTTATTACAGATGTGCCCAATAAAGTGGCCAGCAAGTGTATTTAAAGTAAAGAAGAAGGCTGCTAGGACTTGGACTAACAGTGTTTTAATTTATGCAATCCTTCCCTGTAGCAATGTTTTCTTCTGTGCCCATAAAATACACAAATGTTGTGTATAACAGGAAAGTATACACTGCTGACTGCTGGCTCTACAGTTCATTTATGTGCCTGGCATTTTACAGACACTCCCCCACACACACACTCATAAACACACACATACACACAACCCCACCACCCCCATTCTTCCTTTCAAACACATACGCTCCACTGAATGGAAAATTAAATATTATCCAACAATAAAAGTGGCCAGCAGAAGCCCTTTGCGGCACCGTGCTGCAGATGTGAGAGACAGCACAGACCCATTATGCAAATGCACAGATACCCAAACTGCGAGAGAAATGTGTATAATGTGTTATACACCCCCCACACACACACACACAGACACACACACACACAGGCGACCACCACTGCTGCCACCACCCTGGCTGTGTTTGCAGATAAGATTCCATATCAGGGACAGTGACCTGACAACCATATTTATTCAGGTGAATAATACTTATAAATATACGCCCCTAAAGGCAACCAGCTGCCTGTGGTTAGCCTCACTGCAAACATTCAAAAGTCAGTTTTAAACACTGCGTATTTGAATGTATTTTAAACTAACATCCTGTAACACAGCTGGTAGATTGGGGTGTGGTGACAAACATCTGTGTAGGCCAGACACGCTGGTTTCTATCTCCTACTGTAATCGCCTTTAAATTTCGCAAATGCCAGGACTGCAGCTTTGCTTTCTGTTTGAGAAAGCCCATCATGTTTGTGCTGACAGACCTTTGGAGAAGAGGCGGCCACCCGGCCCCTGGAAACGGCAGGCTGGTCCAAAGGACACGGCTGACTCAGATCGATGAAGGCACTGGAGCAGACGAAGAAATGAAAAGCTCTCGGTGGAGTCACTGTGGTTATAATAAATGTGTGTGCGATGCTCTATAATCGATCTTGATTGTGTAAAAAAAGCTGGAGTCGTCACCATGGTTAAGAAAATGCAAAATATTGTTCATAATGACAGTTTAGATAGTGTTGAAACAGTCCAAATAATGTTGACAGGAGCCTTAGACAGAAACTGGTTAAAGATTCCTGCTCTTAAAGCCAAGCTTCCATATGTTTTGTGTTTATCCTGGATACACCAGACTTTCAACGAGATCAAAGGTCATTGTTCTGGCTGTGGGCACACAAGCCCCACCCACCCGCTGTTCAAACCTTCTGTTTGCAAGGAGCAGCCAATGGGAAGAAAGGTAAGTGGTGTTAAAGAGGAGAGAGTTTAAACAACTTGTTCTACACAGAATGAACTGAAAGGCTGCACTAATAATAATCCTTCTTTATACTGTGACTCATGCAAAGCTACTCTAGTGGAATCTTTGTAGGTACACAGAGTAATTCATTACACTAAAAGTCTGTCACAGTGGACTGAGTTCTGGTTAAGGTATGTTTAGTTTACTCGTGTTCTTGTTTTCTATGCTTTTACCCCTTCTGCCAAATAGGTGACAGTATTTCTAAATTATACACTTCCTTTTTGTTTTCCCGGGAGATCCTCACTGATAAACTGTCTCATCCTGGTGTTTCACTTTACCTGTCAGATTTGCGTGAGTGAATAATTTCCACTCCAACATGCTCAGACTTACACCTGAAACTCCAGTGAAACCAATACACAGACAGAAATTCTGTGACTCATGCTCTAAATTACATTTAAGTCAGTGGATGGGATCACTCGCTGTTTCCTTTTCATCCCACGCCTTATACTTTGTTGTTCCAACTGCCAGAATTTGGGACTTTTGTCATGCTATGTGAACGTTTTTAGTCCAGTGCTCCCACGTGAGAATTCACAGAGGAAAAAGAAAGTTTTTCATTTGAAGTCATTGAAGGCATTTGCAAAAGCACAGAAAGCTCCAAATTAGTGGCTTTATTAAGCTTCATTTTCTATTTTTCAGTAATATGGCATACTAAAAGGAAAAAACGTGGGCTACTCAGACATATATGTAATACAATTTGATGTTTACATATGTTGAAAGCTGCTCTACATGATCCTTTCAGCATCTGTTAAAATGTTGTAAACTGTGGCACATTAACTGAAGAGGCAACATATAATGGCTAAAAAATGGTGATGTATGAAATGTTGCAACTCTTTTTTAAAGAGTTTACTTACTTAGTTTGCACTCACTTGCCTCTCTCTAACACAAAGATCTGACTATGTGAAAGTGTCAGTACATTGAGTTTTTCAAATCTCACACACATAACTTTTAGTTATTTGGAGGTTTGCTTTGCAATAGAGTTTAGAGCAGTAACTGCACTCAGTAAGAAATAAGAAGTGCAAAAATTCGTTTTAAAAAGAAGTGACAAATAAACACAAATTTTGCACATAAAATGTAGATTGCACAGGGTTCAAATTAGAAATAAACTGACTATTTATCATTTTAAAAGTTCACTATAAACTATCGTCATTTTAGGGAGGATCCTGTTGCCTCGATTGATGATTGTTTATATATATTTAATAATTTAAAAAAGAGAATAACAAGGGGTTAAAATTTTAAACTAAATTAAAGCTAAAATAAAGATACAATATAATTTTTCATGCTGGTGTTATGAGGAGAGGGGAACTGTAGAATAAATACTTGCTAGCAGCGCCTCCATTGTAGATGACTTTTACACAATGTAACGATGGGGGGCGCTGGTTCTCTGAAATCCTCAATGTACAGAGGAGTCTTCTGATAGAGTCGTGATTGGTCGTGGTTTCTGTCTCCCTATTGGCTTAAACAAGACATAAACCGAGATACCAGTATGTTTACCGTTTTACCTTAATTTTGTTTGTGGGTTGTTTTTTTTTTTTATTTAAATGTTTTGTTTGTGTTCATTTCATATTTTTGTTTTGTATCGTTTCCTTTTTAGAGTCCGGGGAGCTCGTTTATTAAAATCCGTCATGGCCCTTTAAAGGAACTGCACGCTGTGCGCATAACGCATGCGTATTGGGGGTGAGCAACAGCTCCTGTGGAAAACAACAACAATCGTTAGAGCAGAGCAGAGCAGAGCAGAGCAGCAAACAGAGATGGTTCCGTAAAGCTCAACACTTCTGGTCCTTACCACTGTATTCAGTCCAGCTGCTGCTATTTCTACTGAAGCTTTATACGTCGATGGTGCCGAACCCATGAACCTGGCCAGTCAAAACGGAGACGCTGGCGGAAGCCAGCTGCTCTTCGCCAACTTTAACCAGGACAACACGTAAGGCAGGGCCGGGGAAAGTGGCTTGGGATCGGATGGCCTGTGCTGTGAAACTAGCTAATGCTAATTAACCCAGCTTGGACTTGTCTGGACGCCTAGCGGGGTCACAGGAATGGATTTGAAATCTCATAGATGTGGTTTTTGTCATGCTAGAAAAGACTATCAGTAGGCGTCGTGTTTTGGGTCTTTTAAACTATCCATTTACCTTTTATTTTATCAGATGCTAGCATAGCTTGCTAGCTAGCATAGTGTTTTGTGGTCCGAGGCTAACTAGCAACATGCTCGTAAATTAAGTGTGCTGTAGACGCATATTTGCTACGGGTAATTGTAATTACTTATTTAGGCTAGCTGTAGATAGAAATAGTAAAAGGCAATTCGATTTTTCTGTGTTTTGGACTCATTACTGGTGAACAGCTGGAAGACTGCTGGAAATTGTTGTAGGAAATTGTGACTCGAACTGGGTCACTGTATTTGTTTTAATATGATTAAGATAGACATGTCGAATTTAAACTCGGTCATATACTAAATTTGCCGGTGTTTGCTCTCAGCAGCAGAGGCTTGGTATTATTGCAACACAGCGTTAGTCGTGTGATCACAATCACACTGAGACCACAATGACCAATGTATCTAGGGTACGCGGAGTTAGCCGAGATTACTGAAATTAGACCGAACCCCCCTGTTTTTCATTGTGTAGACTAATACAATGTGGCTGTAACAACGACCACAGAGTGCATTGTTATTCAGTGTATGTCTGTGTGACACCGTGCTTGGTCACTGCCACGCTTCCTTTCTGTGTTATGTACAGGTCCTTAGCTGTTGGCACCAAATCAGGATACAAGTTTTTCTCCCTGTCCTCTGTGGACAAATTGGAGCAGATTTATGAATGTAGTAAGTATAAACTGACCTCTGTTCTGGCTTTCTACTACCATCTACTCACCCGTTTGTGTTTGTTTTCCTCATCCAATCACTAAACAGAATGCACACACAATAGTTGCATGCAGTTAGCTGTTTTGTGTTTTGTTTTAAAGGCATGCATATTTTTTTTTTGGTTTGTTTGTTTTTGTGAAAGTGCAACTTGGGTGTAATGGTGGTGGTAATGGTGCACGAGGCTGCATAACATGAAATTCTTTCCAGTAATTTAACCACACATGTGTATGCTAATGGCGTAGACAGAGTAGGCCCCTGTTGCGGTGGTCCTCGATGTCGCTCTTCCTTTGCCTCTGCAGTTAGTCTTCACGCCCAGGCACAGATTCCATCTGTGCTACCTATGACTGACGGCGATCTACTGCACACTGTAGAGCTGAAGCCACGTTCAACAGGTAGATAATCGGTCCATGCGGCGTAACGCGAAAAACTGCACAGGGGAAGGAGGACACTGCAAGGTTTGCCTGTTATAAAATGGCCGACTACCTTTACCAGCTGCAGGACAGAGACTCGCTGGAGAGGCTGCCAGATATACCTTTATCTAGTTGTCCAGATGTAGTTGGCCATTGAGGTATTTGCAGCACAGCAAATTTGTTTTAAGTTAGTTGGCTTTAAAGGTACTTGTCTTATAAAAACTGTTACTTCATTGCTTAATTATATTTTATGAGGTATTACTGCATTTGTTCCTGTTAGTTTGGAGTCACTATACCACTAGTGCAGTGCTTTTACTTTAAATAATTAATGAAATATGTCTGCCCTTACCTCTCACTAGTATGCTTAAGCATCAACCATCCTCCTTGTATATGGACAAAGGTTACATATGATTTCTGCTGCATCCCTTTTATTCACCTATATGTTGTATTCTGACTTTTTTGCTAATTAATTTATATTTAAATACCAAAGAAGAGGACGGGAGTAGGTGATTTAAGAGAATGGGAAAGCCATTTCTACAATTTCTGAACAGCGCTCGTTCGACTCTTTCATGAAACAAAGTGTTAGAGGCTAGCTTTTTGTTTGTTTTTTGCACCCTAGATAAAAGAAGGAAAGACGTTCACACAGTCTACCTATAAAATGCAAAACTATCCACATCTATACTTCTTGAGCAAGACCAGACAGATTCCAGCCCACTCTGTATTTTTGGATCATTCCCTGGAAGTCCCTTTCTGACCACTGGAACTGTGCATGCTGCAGTTTCACCACAGACCTCAGACTTGCAAGCAGATAAACACTGACCCTTTTTCCCCTTTGTGTGTGTGTGTGTGTGAGTTGCCCTCCCTCTGCAGAGTTCTGGACTCGGAGAGATGATGTTTAGATCAGGGGTGGAATACTCCAGGCCTCTATGGCCGGTGTAGGTTTTAGATAGCACCCTGGGTCAACACACCTGAATCAAATGATTAGTTCATTACCAAGCCTCTGGAGAACTTCAGGAAGTAATTAAGCCATGTAAATCAGCTGTGTTGGGTCAAGGACACACCTGAAGCCAGCAGGACACCGGCCCTTGAGGCGCCCCCCTCCCCCGGTTTAGATGAATAGCCCTGAGTTGCATTGCATGCCAGGAGTTTTCTTCTTGGCCTCACCAAACCAATTTTCACTCGCCACGTGGACCGCTTGGCTTCCTACAGCTTGTTCCACTCTTCAAAATGAAAATAAAGTTTTAAGGATCATGATTTGAGACACTGGAGGAGATCCAGCAGGTATTACAGAGGCGCAGATGCAATGAGACTTAACGCGACTTCCATGGAGTGATCTAAAAATAGCAGCCACGCTGAAGATGGTCAAAGAGAGAAGAGGGGGCGGGGGGGGGGAGCTCACCAATATCCCCAGTCCCAGAATGTTTTGCTCACATTTCATACACACTGTTACATGGTGCACATTCAGCATGGTCAGAGTTTAAAACTACGAGTAATCTGTGCAAGTAATAATTTTTTCCCCCTCCCTCTTGCTTTTGTATTTCCTCTGGCTTTGAGACAGCAACCCATACCGGCTGCTGTTGAAACCTTTTGTTTTCAAATGTCAGCCAATCAGAAGACAGCTTCCTTAAGTAGTGGTTCTCCTGTTTGTGGCATGTCCCACTTCCACAGCTGTGCCCCGTATTCCACCAATGTTATTAATCATCACTAAAACAAAGGATCCAAGCTGAGTTTTAAGTATGATAGCAGTAGAAAAACATGAATTCAGCTTTCCTTCATTTAGTAATTCTTTCAGTTATCAGTGATGCTACTGTGGTTCTTTGTTCCACTACAGGTGGATATGTATATTTTGAAGTCTGAATCACACAAAATAACTCGAGTAGAGTCAAAAAATAAAGATTTAGGGTAGACACATTGGTGTAAATCTTTAGCTATGAAGAAAATCAGGAAGTGAAGAAGCAACAATGCGTAACTCAATTAGCTTAACTAGGAAAGGGGAAACAAGGTAGAGCTCACCACAAGGAGGAATGGGGAAATGCACTCACTGGCAGCAGATATAGGTTACTGTTTTTAACATTTGGTTTCACTTCACCGATTAAGTTATTTCTTCTGGATGGTACGTGCTACGCTAACAACAGCGTAGCACGTATTTCCTTTGTTGTATTTTTGACACTGCCCCCTGGTGACAGTAAACGGGTATGTGGGGCTGCACAGCGCTCTATGGCACCTACAGGCTACAAATGCACTATCATGCTTGGAGCTTTATTCCTTTGCTTGTCAGCTGATTATTTATTACAGTATTGTAGTTATTATGGGATGCTTTAATGTCTAAGCCCAAATTGTCAAACTGATCTAGGATCTAATCCTTTAATCACATAAGTGATTATAAAATGTCAGAGCACTGATGAAATAATAATTTTGTGTCCGTCTCCTGCAGCTGACACTGAGGATGTGTGCATTGTGGAGCGTCTGTTCTCCAGCAGCCTGGTGGCTATAGTTAGTCTGAAGGCCCCCCGGAAGCTCAAAGTCTGTCACTTCAAGAAGGGAACTGAGATCTGCAACTACTCCTATTCAAACACTATACTGGCTGTGAAGCTCAACAGACAGGTAGGCCAAAGTTCGTTTGCAGTGTTCATGAATACGAAGAGGCTTATTTACCCTCTAATGACGACTTTGTTTGCTAAGTACACACAAGTTGATGTTGCGTGGTTCCTCCGCAGAGGCTGATTGTGTGCCTGGAAGAGTCGCTCTATATTCACAACATCAGAGACATGAAAGTGCTGCACACTATTCGAGAGACTCCGCCTAACCCTTCAGGTGAGTCTGAAGAAACAGTCTGTCGTCATCATCATCATATAAATAGGAAAATATAGTGAATGTAATATGTGCTTTTTATAAAAGTTTACCTTTTTTTCCACTTTACATGTATGTGCTTGTATTGAGCCTCATCATGAATGTTTAGAAATGTACAAATCTAGTTTTGTCCTTTTCGTGTGTCAGCGAATCGGAATCATTTTAAAATGAAAGGGAAAAAATCTTGGGCTTGGGCCTCCATGACTGTGTATGTAGATCTGGACTGTAGCACAGGTTTAAAACGAATGAATAAAACTAATCAAAAGAGAATAAAGAGCTGGAGTAAAAGGACCATCTGTTCAGTTAGCCCAAGATTCATACGTAGCTATTCAAAATTTGTTTGCAGAGTACGACTCAGATTTGTGCGTAACGTGTGCTCACGCGGTTTGTGAGTGAGGCCCACTTTCTCGTATCAGCTGAGAAGTGCCTCCTCTTTCATTTTCTCAGTTTATTTTGAACAGTGTTGTTTTGTCTGCCGCTCGCAACACTAAGACTTTTCATTTCTTCTCCTCCTTTCTTTTTTTTTTAATGTTACCGATACCATTGTTGTAGTTGGTTGTGTTGACACGTTTTGTTTTTTCTCTCCATCATTTTTTTACTGATTAATTTGTCTTTGTGCTCGTATCTCTCCAGGATTGTGCGCCCTTTCCATCAGCAATGATAACTGTTACCTGGCATACCCAGGCAGTGCTACGATAGGAGAGGTCCAAGTGTTTGACACAGTCAACTTGGTAGGTGAACCCAGACAATGATACTTTATGTGCTCCTGTTTTTAAATAAAGCCATCATCAGGATTTATTACAATAATTTTCCGGGGCATACGCTTGCTGTGCTACAGTAGTGTTTCAGTTTCTGACGAATGTCTGCGTGGATACTCAGTCGTCCAGGTCATGGTAGCTTTGAGTGCTTGAAAAGAAATCAGCTGTATTTCTTTAGGTTTATCAAAGAGGCTTCCTCAGTTTTAAAACTACTTGGGCTGAGAGGTGTTTAACACCTAGTGGGGGTTTTCCACTAAGGGTTGTTGTTAATCATCAGCCAAGTTGTGAAAAAAGACTGGGTCATTACCATCACTGAGCACCGAAGTGTGAAACCTCTGTGAGACACTGCCCCGCCCAACCATTGTGTGGCTGCTGAGGTCTCCTGAGGCACAGTGTGAGTGCTAGCGGGGGTTGAACAGCCTGTAACAGCAGATGTAGTCGCTCTAGTCGGGGCACAGAGCCGTCTGCCTGCAGAGAGCTCTGTTGTCAGATGGAGGCAGTGCTGTTATTGGTCGGTCAGCCAGCTGCAGTGAAGAACCACAGTTATTACTTTGCTATTACGTTGCTGGTTAATTCAGCTGTCGCTCCCTGATCTAGTCAACCAATCACCATTCAGCAATTACTTAACTCATGCGTTTCCAGCAACACATAGTGATGGAGGAGTCTTGGAGGACTGCATGGCCCCTGTGTCTGACCGGAATCACAAACATGGTTAATTGATGGTCTTTCATAGTGGACGTGGATGACCTCCTTTACTTTTCCATCTTCTCGGCCTAAAATGTGAACATTTGCATCTTTGAAAGAGCGACCTTTGTCTTTAAAGTGCAGGCTTAGAGTTGAGTCTTTTCCTCTTCAGCTGCTTCTCTTGTGTTGTGTCGTGTGTTTTGTAAATTGGTGGTTTGGCTTCTCCTATATAGAGGTCTGAGTACTCCTGCAGTGTTTATTGTGCATTTGGCTGTTTTTGTCTGAAGGTGTTTCTGGGCCTGAAAGCAGGTTTGTAAAGTAGTTAATCTGTGTGTCGTTTTCCAGAGAGCAGCAAATATGATTCCAGCCCACGACAGCCCATTAGCGGCTCTGGCTTTCGATGCTACTGGAACTAAGCTGGCTACAGCATCAGAGAAGGTAGTTCAGCTGCTGTGCGGGACATTACCCTGTCATCTCCGCAGCTAATTTTGTTTTCCACATGAGGAAATGAGGATTTTGATTCTTGCATCCTGTAATAGTGTTGCAACTCTGTACATATTTTGTGCCTTTTTTCACTTCCTCTCAGGGTACAGTCATCCGTGTCTTCTCGATCCCAGAGGGACAGAAGCTCTTTGAGTTTCGACGAGGAGTCAAGAGGTAGACGGCTCATGCACTGCAGTTTTGATTCTTCGTAACATCTGTGCACGCTTTTGTACGTGTTTACCATCTCCTCTGTGCACGTGTGTTGCCGTGCTTGTCTCCTCAGGTGCGTTAGCATCTGTTCGCTGGCGTTCAGTATGGACAGCCTGTACCTTTCTGCCTCCAGCAATACAGAGACGGTCCACATCTTCAAATTAGAAACACAGAAGGAGAAGTATGTGTACGTAGCTGTCTGTCTTTGGATGGCTTGTTTCGTAGCCACTTATCAAGCTGCTGCTTCCTTCAACGAAAACATGCATCTCACATTCTGTACGTGTACGCTCAGGCCAGCCGAGGAGCCCACCACGTGGGGAGGTTACCTGGGGAAGGTCTTGATGGCGTCCACCACCTACCTGCCTTCCCAAGTCACGGAAATGTTTACCCAGGGGCGAGCCTTCGCCACCGTACGTCTACCCTTTTGCGGGCATAAGAATATCTGCGCCTTAGCTGTGTGAGTACACACACACAAATGCAGCACTGCGTTTGAGACATTATGAAATTGTTACTTTTCTTATCACGCCAGAGAAAGGGGGGGAAAAAAGTGAAGTAGAGTTGACTGAATTTACAATCACAGGTCATACAAATTTTCTAGCACATTTTATTTACGTTGCACTTTGATTGTAGGAAGTTTTAAAATACTGACTGATTTTAATCTTTGGTCACCTTTGACCTACTTTTTTTTTTTTTTCAATTTAAAGTTGTAGCGAGTAGTATTAATAATTAATAATAATCAATAAGTTTATACAAGGTGGTTTTCCTGAGGATGTGCAGGCTTCTGTCACTCTGCCTTTGTACCACTTTGTATGGAGAGCGGAAGTTAGTAGCATTTCCATAATAGGTCCTGAGCTTCTGACAGGCACTTAAAATAATGCAAATACTTGAGTAATGTAACATCCGCCATCTCTGCCACTCCTCATCTGTGTGCCAAGGACTCAGAGGAGGAATCTAAGAATAGGAAACTGGAAAATATTAATGAGCTTGTAGGATTCTTATTAGCTGCTTGGTATGTCACATCTGGTGCTGAAGAAGAGAAAATGCTGAAGAGGATAAATGTGATTGACGTGTTGGATTGGATTTGTGGATCTTTCATGAATCTCCATTTTTAATTGTTAAAAATTAGGATTCAGAAGACTCCCAGGTTGCTTGTAGCAGCGGCTGATGGCTACCTGTATATGTACAACCTGGATCCACAAGAGGGGGGCGAATGCACACTAACGAAGCAGCACAGGTAACACAGCATTGGCAGATTGTGGCTCGCTTTAGCTGGTAAGGTAAATTTTGGGGAGTTAAACTGAGGATTTCCGTCTTTGGCTTCAGGTTAGACGGGAGTACCGAGCCCCCCAATGAGATCCTTGAGCAGGCGTCACATGATCGCCCACTTGTGGCCCAGACCTACAGTGCTGCTGTCTCAAAGGGTAGGTGACACAGTATTGATATCTTTCTTTCTTTTTTTCTGATTGGGGGAAAAAAAGGCAATAGGTAAATAAAAACGAATCAAAACTTTTTTTCTTTTTTGTAAAGATGGCTGTTCTGGAGCGACTATCTGTAATTAAGTTGTGCAGAAAGGCGGGACAAGTTTGGAAGTGATCCAATCAGAAGAAATCTCCTCAATGTTTGACTTGTGAACTCTTGTTTCCTAGGTTACTGTGAAGAGCAGGGCGCTGTGGGAGGGGTGGGGCTTGACGACGACCTCAGCGACCTACGCTTAGAGGAAGACAACGAGCAACCGCCGCTCATCCTCGAGACCGAGTGACTGGACTGATGGCTGTACCCATCGATCAGAGGGCTCCTCTGGTGCTGCTAGAGACACGTGACCCCGAAAGGGGCGTGGACAGGATCAAAGATAGAGGCGGGGAGGGGGGAGTGTCTTTGTTTTTCTTTTAAAGTGTTCAAGAGCCTGTCTGCCAGTTTGTTCATGCATCCGTCCGTTCACATACATGTCTTCTTTTTTTCTTTTTCTTTTTTCCTTCCCCCCCCCCTTCCCTCCTGCGCTCCCTTTTCCCTCAGTTTAGCCTGAGCAGGCCAAACTGAAGCTTTGCATGTACATGTGCCAAAAGCTCAAGTGTGAAAATGAGTATCTGAGAGTGTGAGTGTCATTTAAAAAATAAAAAATGTAGCTGTGTCTCTGTTGAAGACACTCTCACACACACAGCGAGCCCTGTGTGTGTGAGTAGAAACTGATTGTGTAAGTGCCTCTCTGCCCCCGCTGTGATGGCTTTCTTGTGTTTGAGAGGGGCGACCTCTTTTCATTGGCTGAATAAAATCTTCTTTCACTTGTTCAATCTTAATCGAGGGTGTGTGCTGTCTTTTCTGACCCCTTCCCCTCTCTCTCACACACACACACTCTCTTGTACACTGTCCTGCAGAGGGCGGGCATCAGTCTAAGGTTTTTGGCATGAGGCAGAGGTGTTGACAAATATATGTGTGTGTTTGTTTGCTTGCGTGTGTGTGTGTCCTCGGGCATGTACATTAGCAAACCATCTAGTCATGAGCTTTTACACCTGCCCCTGCTCACTTTACCTCATCCAAACAAGGGGCTCAGTGGACCTTCTCCTGCTCTCTCCTCCCTGTCCTCAGGCCTGCAGTCATTGGTTAATTTTTCAACTATCAATCTTGGGTTTTTTTTAAACTACATAGCTAATCATAACCAATGATGTGTCATGCGTATGAAAACATGCATGGTGTTGTTGATGTGGTACTGTGTCCATACATCTAAGCGGTGGTTTGTGATGATCGACGAAGAAAGGCAGGAAGCTCGCCGGTCTCCTCTTAACAACTCATCCTACTGTATCTTACTCTGTACATTGTTAGATGTGGCGAGATATCACTGTGTCACGCAGGGATAGTGAGTATTTTGGCCACGGGGCAGGTTGGGCTTGTTTTTCGATTGTGATCTGGAGGTCGGGCTGAGCCTCATCATCTGGTCCGGGATGCTGCATGATTCCCCAAATAATCCTTTTCAGTGTGTGAAGCCACCAAGTAAGGATTAGATGTGGGAGTTTGGAGTGTCGGGCATTTTCTAATGATTTTGTATAAAATGTGAAACATTCATCTGAAACTAAAATAAATCCATGTTGATGTATGAAGTTAAGTGCCTTTTGTTCTTGTTGCACTAGCATCTTGCATTCATTATAAAGAGCATCTTAGGCCAACTGAATGGGAGGACGTGTTAGCCAGCATCACAGCTACTGGAGCAATAGAAGTCAGGTAAAATTCAGTTTTCATTTTATTTGTTTTTAAGCATCGGAGTTTTATACTTTTAGGTGTTACCACATAATTTCAGACATCCTCTATGCCACACTGTAATATTACTATAATATGTATGTGAAAGAATGACTCCTGTTAAGCAGAAACCTTTGACCCACAGACCAGAACGCCCGAGTGAGAGCAGTGTGCTGTAACATAACATCACATCTTTAAAAAAGACATGCCTCCCATCTCAGTTTTATGCCCTTCCTACTAAAAGAGCATGGGAATGTGTGCGTGCTCTGTACATGTCAGCGCTGACTTCATGTGGGACTCGAGCCCTGCCCGTGTAGGTGAAAAATAATTTTTAGCTTTCCATTGCACAACCACACGTGGCTTTGTTTTTTATAGTACCCCATGTTGCTCATATGTGATGTGGGTTCTCCTTTCCAACTGCCTCAGTCAGAATATGCTTCTTTTCTTTTCTTTTTTTGGGGAGGGGGGTAATGCCAAGAGCCATATTGTCAAAGTTATCCTGACAGTACAAAAGCAATACTTACACCCTTACTTTTTCCACATGACATAGCAGCCAGGTGCTGAAAATCAAATGCACTTCATTAACTGATCATCGGCAAGTGTGAGCACCTATAAAAGGAGACTTTTTGGCACTGTGTGTTAATACAATGCCACGAACTTGAACTTCAAAGTAGTCCAGAGTTAAATATTATGCAGTGGGACGATGAGCTGAAGAACAGCAGCAAATCTACAACAGGATGGTGCTGCAATGGTCCAGTGAAAGTCCAGACCTCAACCTGATCGAAATGTTATGGTGAGACCTTCAGAGAGCTGTGCATGAACAAAGGCTCCAAAACCTCATTTTTCTCTGTATTATCATAGGCACCTTGACGCAACTGTTGTTGTAATTTGGTGCTATATAAATGAAATTGAACTGAATACATTTCATGTAATATTTCAGGACGTGAAGGACCCATTTGTCAGAATCTTTTGTAGACACTTTAAACGCTACCACTTTAAAGGAAAGTCGACCAAATCTGAATCACCTTCAAGGAAAAAATAAATAAATACAATAAGATACAAATTTTCTGCTACTAGAGTAATAATGTACTCAAGAACTTGCTTCATTGCAGCTTATTGAACTTTGCAGCAGGTCACACACACTCACACGCGAGGGTGGACTCTATCCTTGACGTGAGACCACAGCTTTAGCCACTCCTTCCTCGAGGGCTTATGCACCAACGATGAGATGATATAAATCACATTCCCCATGTACAGAAGAACATTTCAAACATTTTTCTGCTATGTTAATCGACAATACAGGATCTAAAAGTTTTGCAAAACTTTAAGAGCAACAACCAACAACCAAAGCCCCAAACCCGATGTTCCACAAAAACACATACAGTACATTTATGGCACATCAGCAAAAACATCAACAGCATGCAGGCTATTTCCTAAGACTACACTGATTAAGATTATCAGTGATGTTAAAGACTCTTGATAGTTTAAGACCTTGTTCACCACTTCCTGTCAGGGTCATCTCTGCCATTTCAGCCTGTTCCTCAGCCTCATCCAGGTCATGGACGGTCTTCATGTATTTAAACAGGCTGCTGTTGGCCTGCTATTCTTACAGAAACACACAAATTAGCTTGCCAGCACCAACCTTCTTCCACCTGAAAACACACACACACACACACACACACACTGTGTCTGCTTTCTTTCACTCATGTCACATGTCAAATCTTAAACCTTTCTAAATAACATCATAATATTTTTTAAAACACTGGGAAAATATGGCACATCCTCAACTTCCAGTGAAGCTTCAGCCTCCTCCAGAGTCATCTGCAGCTCCTCTTTCTCCACCTCCACGTTCTTCTTGGCTTGTGGACGCTGCGGCCTCCCTCCCCAAGCTGACAGTCAACTCCTTGATCTCCTCTGAAAGGAAATGGCACAGAAATAAAAAAAAAAAACAACAGTTAACACAGAGGATTATATTTTCCTTTCTTCAAATGCTTGCAAGTTATGATCAGCTGTAACTGGACAAGATAGAAAGCACCTGAGAGGGTTTTGTTCTCCTTGCAGACAGTCATCAAGTGATCCTGGCTCTCCGTTTCCAGCATGTAGATCTCCATCATGTAGGAGCGGCTCTCCGTCTGGCTGTTCTCGAGTTCCTTCTGGCTCCACTCGGCTGCCATCTTATCGAAAACTCCCGGCTTCTTATCCAGAGCTGCCGCGTTGGACTGCTTACACAAAGGCAGACATAGCAAACTCAGTTAGTTAGATTCATTATTTTTATTAATTGTTGCTGATATATCATTACAGAAAGCATTATTATAATAAAGAAGTGCATTATCCACACAAAAGGTGAGGATAACTGGATCAGAAATTAGTTGGGTAACTAAGTTTCTAAGTAATAGCTTTGAATAATCAGACGTTCCAGCATTGCTCTTGTTTCCGGTGCTGTTGAAAACACTTTGCTTGTTTATTGGAATTTTGCCTCTTGACTGCTCTCTGCTGGATTTGTTTGTTAACAGCTAACCTCATGTGTATGACCTCTTCTGTGTAATAGCCTCTGGTGCTTCTGTGTCCTGTCCTGTCTTGTTTATTACAGCTAGTTTAAAACATTAAGCAATATTAAGGCATCATTCGGGGCTGTACACATTGAGATTTTGTTTTTGTGCTTGTGTACGTTCTCTTGGTCTATAGTGAAGTCCTCCATCTCTCCCTGCAACCTCTGCTTGACCTTTTCCAGGCTGGCAGCTCTGGCCTGAGCCGCCTCTGCTGCCTCCTCAGCCTCCTGGAGATGCACTGCAAGTTTGGGCCTGGGAGAGAGTGGGAGGAAAGAACCAGAGTGGAATTTAAATTAAAATTTTATCACTGTCATGATTCATAAGACTCTTTTTTTTTTTTAAATTCTTTTGAACCTACTTGGTCTCCTCCAGCTCCTCGGTGCGGCGTATGGCGTCTCATACTTGCTCCTCCATGTGGTGACGTCAGCAGTGAGCTTGGACACAAGACGCTGGATCTC